CACGTATTTGTAAAATCTAAGTGACTCGTACAACATGGAATTCATATAAAACGGAATAATCAACAGTGTTATAGGGGGGTCGACTTGTAGTTTTTCTATATCTACATATATTTTACTCTTAAGATTACGAATAATGATATATATTAATTAAAAATGCTTTTTACATTTATTGAATAACTACTTAACATTAATTTAATTCCACTTCTTGGGCGGTTTCTCTTCCTTATTAACCTCTTATACAGAAGAACAAATGTATGGATCTCTCTAAGTACATGCATTCTACTAAATAAACTTCTTAAGAAAGAAAGAGAAAACCGGAACATCTATGGATAATTCGTATTCTCAATTTACTTCCAAAACATTGGAATTATATTGAAATTGTTTGTTATGTACATTTTATTCATACCCGAATTATACGTTTCTTTCCTGTTTAACAATTGTTCTATAATTTGAGGATCATCACGAAAAGAATCACCAGGAAGAAGAATAACGTTTTCTGAATACAAAATCATAATATTAAAAATTAACAAGATCCTTGATTTATATTTGGGATTGTCCCTCTTGTTCATATGCCCCACTTATAGTTACCCATGCCCTCTTTATAACATCTATGTAAAGGATATAAACTATACTCGATAAGATGCTTGAAAAAATTGACGTAATCATAGGGGAAATGATGACGAATGGAATCAATTTATGGGTAATAACTCATAAAGAATTCGAAAAGAATTTGTAAAGAATCTGTTAAATATTTTAAATAGTATTTAAAGAAAACGTTCAACAGCTTAAAAATTAAATTTTCTTATATTAACAACAACAACAACATCGTAACGGCATATTTTCGCCAGTTTGACAATAACAATAAGGATAGAAAGATACGTGTCTTTTAAATATCAATTTAATGTTTAATATTAAAATTTCTGATTAATTTATACCCGATACACTTTCTCTTTATTAAAGTAACGGTTAGATTAAAGCAGAATACTGTATCATATAAAAAAAAATGGAACGTTTGAAAGGAATACTGCTCCATTTATCGAATGACAATAGGCAATAACAATGGATTTATATGTCAATCACCTCGAGGGTTAAAGGTTGAACTCTATCAGGAAATATTCACCTGGACTAAGCGGGTGTAACGAGGTTATCCTGTATTATTCCAGTAACTGAAACCAAGAATGATGCTCAAATGATTCAATTATCAATA